CTGGCCCAATGGCGTGGGTGACACAGCTGCTCCAGGTGACCTCATCTCATGATCCCAATTCCACCTGCAAAGACCCTATTTCCAAATGAGGTCCCATGCCCAGGTACCAGGTGACACAGCTTTTGGAAAAGTCACTTTTCCCCTCAGTTCTATGGAACTTGACCTTATTCCAATATGGCGGCCTGGCCCAATGGAGTGGGCGACACAGCTGGTCCAGAATGACCCCATCTTAATTTCATCTGCACAGACTCTGCCTCCAAACCCAGTCCCATTCAAGAGGTCTGAGTGGACTTGGATATGGTTGATCTTTGGGACCATGTGAGGATGAAGTTTCGGACATCTTTGGGGGACAATCTTCTGACTCCATTTAATTTCACAAGCATTGCCAGTGACAGTGACAATGACAGTGGGCTTGTGCCTGGTCACACAGATGTGAGTGGCCCTTCCCTTCATCATCAGTGGATCGGGGACAGGGGACACTGTTTAGCTGTGCCAGGGTTAGGTGGCTTCCTGAGAGTTTCTTCCCAAGTGACCAATGTGACAAGGCACGCAATCCTGGTCTTGGTGGCATTTGTGTCTCATGGACAATGTCACGACTCCTTGGGAAAGACACAGCAGGACACATGCTGTCCATACTTGAGAGTTTGCAGATGAAGATTGGGACATGTCCTGGGAGGTGACATCTGAGTCACTGCAATGTCCTGCCTCATAGTGGTATCCTGGTGGCACCTTGGGACATGCCAGGGAGTCTCTGGTACGTGTGACCTGGAGGAGGGAACCTTGGGCTGTGTGCTGTGTCTTTTCCTATGATGAACCCAGAGCTCAGGGGAAAAGCCTGGAATAGGACAGAAGGAAACCCGGGGTCTCTTATTCCATAAAGACATCAGTAGCCCTAGATGTGCATTTCCAACTATGTCAGTTTTTTGAACATCCTACAAACCATAAAAATAGAATAACGGACTGTCTGTTCATTGATCCCTGTGAAGGGCAGTCACTCAACAACCCACTAAGAAATTATCAGAATCTGGGCACATTCTCCTGTTTCAATGGTTAGTCTCCCATTAACCTATACAAGAAATAGGGGATGCTGATGGAAGGGGTGGAACCTGGACGCCCCTTGCTCACAATGAGGTCAGTTGCAGGACTGACTGGGTCTCCATCTAACCAGGACCATTGGGGACAATGACAAGCTCTTTTCATTGAGGTGACTATGCCAGCTGTACATAAATGGAGGTCATATGGGAAACACAAGGACAGAGAACAGAAACTGGTCCTGGGGGAATCGAGGCCAGTGGCTGAATCCCATCCCTGAGGATGAAGGATTCAGAGGTGACATCCAGGTGTCACCAGGGGACTGACCATGAACGGTGTGGCCAAGCTGAGGTTACCCTGGAGCCTGGTCCCATAGGGTGCTGTCATGTCACTTCCAGGTTTTTCTCCTGAAATCCTACAAGTTGAAGTCATGGGTATCCCATGTCCCCAGGTGCTGGCTTTTGTCCCCTGGAGTCCCCAGCAAGAAGTTCACACCCCACTTCTGTCAGCTAAGGCTGTGTGGAGGCTGGACGACTCTTAGGAAAGGTGACAGAGACAGACAGACGCCCTTGAAGGACACACGAGTCACTGTGGGGCTATGACATTCTTCCAGGGCTAGCTCCATGTCACCAGCCATCCCACCCGTCCCTGGCATGGTGTCCTGTGCTCCTCTAAGCCGTGACTCCAAAACTCCGTGTCATTTTCAGGGACCCCTGGTGACCCCATCTCCCAGGGCTGGGCGTGCTGGCTTCACAAAATAAATTGACACAATTGCATACTTTTGACAGTTAAAAAAAAAAGATCAAATTGAAGAAAATGATGAATTTATTTATTTATTATTTTTTGCTTTATTTGGGACAAATTTTCTTTGTTCCCTGGCAATTCAAATTCAACAGGACATCCTAAATTTTTCCCCCCAGGGATTTGAAACCAGGTCGCAGAAGTAATAGTTTTTGCTTTTGGATTCCTGGTGGCTCTGTGTCTGGTCACTGTGTGACAATGAGGTCCATGTTGGTGGCTGACTCGGTGGCACCATTTCTTCCTGACAGATCGGGACACGGATGTGGTTTAGGATGGTTACTGCTGTGACTGGTGACAGATGGTAGGATTTGGGGTTTTAATCCTTTGGTTAAATAAGGTGGTTGCATATACAAATGCAGGGCGGTGGGAGGTGGAGCATGTTAATTATTCAGTCATGGACAGCATGGTTGGTCACAGTAGGTTTTGGGATGTTTTATTGGCAATGGGTGCTGTGTGGACAGGTTAGACCCCCTGCCTCCTCCCTTTTTCCCTTTCTTTCCTGTCCATGGTGGGGACCCCCCCCTCACATTCTGGGAGTTTCTCTCTCTCTCTCCCCTCTCTCCATGGCCTTGCATATGTCCCTCCCACTTTTCTTCTTGGGGTCCAGCTCTTCCTCTTTGTACCCCCTGCCCAGGTCTACTGGGCAGCCCAGGGTTTACTCAGGTCCTTCCCAGTCTTGGGGTCACAGTCCTCGGTGTCCCTTTGAAATCTGATGAGCTGTGGGCATTGAAAGGGGCTGGCCTCCCTATCCAGGTCCAGTTGGACCTCCTGAATGGGACTGGGTTCCAAAGTACAAGTTTTGTGCAACATGGGGTCATCCTGGGACCAGCTGTGTCACCCACTCCATTGGGTCAGGCCGCCATATTGGAATATGGTCATGTTCCACAGAACTGAGGGGAAAATTGTCTTTTCTAGAAGGTGTGTCACCTGCGACCCAAGCATGGGAGCTCACTTGGAAATAGGGTCTTTGCAGATGGGATTAAAGGTCTTGGGATAAGGCCATATTGGCCCCACGCCATTGGGCCAGGCCGCCATATTGGAATATGGTCAAGTTCCAGAGAACTGAGGGGAATGGTGTCTTTCCCAAAAGTGTGTCACCTGGGATCTGGGCATGGGACCTCACTTGGAAATAGGGTCTCTGCAGGTGGAATTAAGGATCTGAGATGAGGTCACCCTAGATCCACTCCATGGAGTCAAGCCGCCATATTGGAATATGGTAAGGGCCCAACTGCCATACAGGAATGTGATTAAGTTCCATAGAACTGAGGGAAAAAGTGACTTTCCCAAAAGCTGTGTCACCTGGGACCTGGGCCTGGGACCTCACTTGGAAATAGGGTCTTTGCAGGTGGAATTAAGGGTTTTGAGATGAGGTTGTGGTGGGTGAAGTTTTCCCAAAATGCAATGACAGCGTCCTTATAATACACAGAAAGGTTGGCTGAACCCCTAAGTCCCCAGGACTCAGCTGAGAATTGTCACTGGGATTTGTATGACATCCTGAGACCTCGGCCTCCTCCAGACCCTATGACCCACTTCCCATGCTGCCTGGGGTCTGTGAGCACCGGGCAGGTGACATCTTTGTCTTTGTGACCAACACAGTCCCCAGAGAGGCCCCATGGAAATGGAGTCGGCCTGGCCTGGTTCATGACCTTGTCAGGGAATCCCAGTGTCCCCGTTCACATGGACGGGTGTTGGCTCATCAGGGGCTTCCCGTCCCCCAGCTGTGAGGGGACAATTGTGACACTGGTGGCAGTGGTCACACCCATGCTTGGGGCTGGGCATCGTGGCTCATGCCTGTAATCCCAGGTGCACAGGAGGCAGAGATTGGGAGGATCACAGCCTGGGGGAAAAAATTCATGAGACCCCATCTGAACCAAGGAATGCTGAGCCTAGAGGATCCCTGGAAGCTAGGTCTCTAGACTTTCAAAATGTCATAGCAGCCACAACTCTAGCCCTTTTTCCTTTAGTTATTTTTCAGATAGGGTCTCCATTTTTTTCCCCGAGGACCAGCATTAGGCCATCCTCTTCCTACCTATGCCCTCCCATATAGCAAGGATTACAGGCACAAACCACCATGCCTGGGTGGTTGGTTAAGATGGGGTCTCCCTATATCCCATTAAGAAAAGTTTGTATTTTTTTTTCCCTGTCCCATTGGAAAGCAAAATAAGGTCTGCATTCCTTTTTAAGAAAGTTCAGTGATTCCATAAATAAAATACTCAGAAAAAAAAAATCAACAACATTTTCTAAAAGTTGATGGTCTAAGGCTGGGTAGGTGTGACTTCACTTGAGGAGGGATTAAATTCTTTTATAAAAATGACTTTTTAAAAAAAATGATTATTTATTTTTGTTGATGTTATTTGGATTTTGACACAGGGTCTCACAATGTAGCCCAAACTGGATCCTACAGGTCACTTGAGGGAGGTTCTGTCCCCAGGATGCACCAGGCAAGGGCTGGGGACATTTTGCTGTCATGCTGGGGATGAGATTTGAACTCACATCTGTGATGGGGACCAGAGACGCTGCTGCACAGACTAAGGCACTCGGCACAGCATGGGGGACCGTCCATGTCCGAGGAGCCCAGGCAAGAGACCCTACAAGAGACGCCATGTTCCTACCTGTCAATCAATCAGTTTATCTGTTTATCACTTATCTATCAATATCTATCATCGATCTATCAGTCGTCTATCAATCCATCCATGCATCCATCTGTCCATGCATCCATCTATGTATCTGTCCATCTATCTATCTGTCATCTGTCTATTCTCTCTTCCTCCCTCTCTTCTCTCACTCTCTGTCACCCATCTACCCACACATCTGTCACAATGATTCACCTGTCTATCTGTCCTGCCCGCGTGTCCATCTGTCTATGGCCCTGGTACTAAATGACATCTGACCATTGCCCCTGGGGAACCCTTAGCCATATCTGGAGATGTTGTCATTGTCACAGCCTGGGTTGGAGCTGCTCCTCCCATCCGTGGTGACCAGAGAGGTCACTCATGTCCTAAAGTGCAGCCCAGCATCAGGTCCCAAATGTGACCCTGCTGTGGCCACCACATCCCCAGCTGGCAGCTCTGTCCCTGGTGTCCCCACCGTCCCCTTGGGTGACCCAAGTCCCTCTTGTGGATGGGGACAGAGGTGGGGCCGGCATGGTGAATGCTTTCACCCTAGAAATAGAAGTCAGTGTTTGCCTATGGCGTCTGTCATGATGTCCCAACTTCCTGAGTAGCCAGCGGGGAGGGTGTGTGGTCACCCCAAGTTCTGTGCATTTCAGAAGTCACTGGGTGTCTGGACCTGAGGCCATGCCACTTCGGGGGAGATGGGGTTCAGTTATCTTTGCCATGAGATGGGTAGCGTCCAGTCTCAGAAATGACAGGGTCCAGCCATTGCCTAATGGCTGCTGAGGGAGACGTGTCACTTCCTGTGACATTGTGACATTGTTTCCAAGGAAGGGGAAGGAGGTGGCTCAAACCTCCATCTTCCCAGAACTGTCCCCTGCCCCCGGGGACATTGGAGTGTCCTTCCCAGGTGAGTGACCTGCCTCCTATCTCTAGAAGGGGGAAGGTGACAGGGCTTTCTTGCTTATGTCCTTTGTTCCAAGTCCGAGGTCCTGTTGGGGTGCATTTTCTGAGCCCCATGGTGGTCGAGGGATTCATGCTGACCTCACGCTGGTCAGGCTGAGCACAGGGTCCCCTCCCGCTTGGGGACCCTAAGCCACGGCCTTCTGTCTGTCCCCAACAGCCTCAGTCCATCCTGTCCCCTCCCAACTACCAACCCTGCGTCCCCCGGGTCGGGTCCCGACTTCACTCGTGCCTCTCTCTCCCTCTCTCTCTCTCTCTCTCTCTCTCTCTCTCTCTCTCTCTCTCTCTCTCTCTCCCTTCCTCTCCCTCTCTCTGTCTGTCTCTCTGTCATGATGGCCAATCTTGGTCTCTGTCTGTCTGTCTGTCTGTCTCACTTCTCTCTCTTTCTCTGTTTATGTCATGGCTAAACTCTGTCACATCTCTGTGTCTGTCTGTCTGCCTCTTTCTCTCTGTGTCTGTCTGTCTCTCTCTCTGTCACAATGGCCAGTCTCTGTATCTGTGTGTCTGTCTGTCTCATGGCTAATCTGTGTCTTGTGTGTGTGTGTGTCTGTCTGCCTCTTTCTCTTTCTGTCTGTCTCTCTCAAAATGACCAATCTCTGTCTCTGTCTGTCTGTCTCTTTTATAATGGCCAGTCTCTGTCTTTGTGTGTCTGTCTGTCTCACACTCTGTCTCTTTTTTCCTTGTGTCTGTCTGTGTGTTTTTCTCTCTCTTTCACAATGGCCTCTCTCTCTCTCTCTCTCACCAGCATAGTGGCAGGGCAATGCATTTTGTCAACCTCCCTCCGTTTGTCCCTGTTTTCTTCTTTGTCAGACAGACAACCCCGCTGCCAGCTTGGGATCCCCATTGTCCTCCTGCCTTGCGAGATCTCGGGGTGCAGAGACCCCATCTTAATTGCCTTGGGTCTGCAGAGCTAGCAAGTGAAATATGTCACACGAGACTTTTAACTACCGTTGGCATATCAGCGCCCGGGCCACACCGTGTGTCACTTGTTTTTCTTATTTCTTTCATCTTCCTTTTTTCTTTTTCTTTTTTGCATGGTGTTTTGGGGTTTCCAGCTGCAGAACCCTCGTTATTTTCTTGGTGGCGGGGTGGAAGGTATTTAAGGCCATTTCCATTGGGTCCACCATCTGCAAAGCCGCGGTCCTGGACACCCACCTGTTCCTTCACCATTACTGTCCCTACAAGACACGGAAGGGACTTCATTTTCCATTCTATAAAGCTTTACACGCAAGCAGGACCCAGTGGTTGTGACAAAAGCCATACGCGGCTCTGTATTTCTTTCCAAACCTGGCTGCGGGATTTGTGCCTTTTAGGGTTGAGGGTCACAGGTGCCTCTGGACCCTATAAGAATTTGCCCCAGAATTTCTTGATATTTCTTTTATAAATTTAAAGCATCTTCAAAGGTGCCGTGTTAATTATTGCCCCCTCTCCTGCCCCTTTCAGAACCGAAAAGGTTTTGCAAACACGAAGGGAAGAGAATTGAGGAGCGGGGTTGAGAACTGGAAACTGGACAGGTCCACCTCAGGCTCAGATGCGATTGGCAACAATTTTTTTTTCTGTGATACTGGGATTTGAACTCAGGGCCTTCACCTTGAGCCACTCCACCAGCCCTTTTTTCAAGATAAGGCCTCATGAATTCCTTGCCCAGGGCTGGCTTTGAACCACGATCCTCCTGATCTCTGCCTTCTGAGTACCTGGGATTACAGGTGTGAGCCAAGGCACCCAGCAATGTTTTGGTACTGAAAAGAAAAAGCCACAAATTGTCACAAGTGTCCACTCTTCTTAATGGAAAACACAGTGTCCTTGATTGTGGGACAAGACCACTTGTCTTGTAGAGAAATGTCCTTTATTCCAGCAATTATCCCAAAGTCAGGGACACATTTTCCTGGTCCAGATCTTGAATCCTGAATGGACTGAGGGTCAGATGTCACCATGGACCCCTGTGTCATGTCACCCTCACAGCGCATATCCCCACTGTGAGTGACCAGCCCTGCTGAACTCTGGTGTGCAAAACCTCCACCATCTGTTGCAAAAGCAGGCTGGGGTCAGCTGCTCTCACCTGCAGCCCAAGTTCACCTCCCCGCACCTCAGATCCTCTTCCCCCTCTCTCAAAAGCAGGCACTGGGTCTTTGGTGCATGAACCCTAATTGCATCGTGACCTCCCCAAATACAACGCTGAACCCCAAGTCCCAGGTCCTTGCCATGAGCACGTCTTTGGAAAAAAAGGTCTCTGCAGAGGAAATGGGTTCACACCAGACAGCAGGTTTTGCAACTTTTCCAGGGAAGGAAAGTTGAGCCTGATCTTCCTGGCTCTGTCTCAGGAATTCCAGGAATTCCTTTAATCCTTAAACTGCTTGATCCACAAAAAAAAAAAAAAAAAAAAAAAGCCAGACCTGGCTTCCATGCAAAAAAAAAAAAAAGGGATGAACCCCTGCAGCTCGACCCCAATTCAATTCCCACGAGCACAAAAGACTCACAAAGGGGCTGGGGTGTGCTTTTCCAATGCAAACGACCCATTGCCCTCTTGTATACCAGGACTTGGGGGCGACCCAGAATGGAGATGTCTAGGTGTAAAATGTGTCTTGTTTTCCAAATTAGGGGACTCTCAGCTCCCCAAAGGAGCAAGTTTTGGAAAGAAAATTCAAATCTGACAAGATGGGCTTGGGTCAAGGCAGCCTCAGGAGTGGCAAGTGGAAGACAGCTCAGGTTTGTTCCCATATTTTTTTTGGGGGGGGTAGGGGTGGTTCAGATTTTGGAGATGAGGTTTTTCTTGAGGTTTTAATCACTTTGGCTTAGAAAACCTGGCAGGCATTTGTAGAAGTGCTGATGGGTGACAGGGGCTTAACGGGAAGTTTGTCTTTGTCTCATTTTCTAAAATACCTTCACCGTCCTACAAAGCTGGAATTTGGCCAAGTGGTTTCTTCCCTGTCCCTTTACTGCCCCCCGATGGCCATGCTAGCTGTCTGCAGCTGTGACAAGTGACAAACCAGGTGGTTTAAAACAACTCAAATTTATTCTCTTAGGGACCAGAGGTGGCTGTGTCTCCTCTTCTGTCTTTTGTGAGGACACTCCCATTGCTTTTAGGGCCACCCTCATCCAGGATGACCTCATCTCGAGATCCTTCATTCCACCTGCAGAGACCCTATTTCCAAATGCGGTCCCATGGTCAAGGACCAGGGGTTTACAATGCAACATAAACTTGTGTGGGGCAGAATTTGGTGCCCCTGAGGCCATGACCAGAGGACCTTGGTGGCTGATTCCACTTACTGGAGCTGTAGAAAGACACTTTGTCTTCCCTGAAGCATTTTTTTGGGGTGGGGGGACTGTGTCCATCTTGTCTGTTGCAGGGAGCAAACAGGAAGCCCAGCCAGGCCAGCTCTTTTCCTGTCTTAATTTTGTAACTTTTGGCCACTAGGGGTCACTAGCTCGCTCTGCAGATGCAGCCCGGTCCTGCCCAGCCCCCAGAGGCCAGCAATGAAAGCGGGCCGCACCGGGGCCTGACAAAACCGTCCTGTTGTGTAGGTCTTGGGAAAATGCAGGACTTTGGGATAGGGTCACCAAAGGTCACATTCCAGGCTGTGTCCTAAGATTCAAATTTGCATTCTGGCCTGGTTGCCTGCTGCTCTTTGCTTTCCAGGAGCTGCCAGGAATTGGGGGTTCGCATGAAAAGCTAGCATTGAGGACCGAGGTAGTTCTTTTCATCACGACATGCTGGGCTGCCTGGAAAGGACAAAGCGCCACTCACTGGGGACGTCTGCGTTCACACATGGGGGGAAAATGTTTGTGCACTGCATTTTGCTGGCTGAGCCAGCAACTCTGGTGTGTGTGAAACTCTGGGGGTGCAGAAAACACTCCCTAAATTTGCAGCCTCGAAATCAGAATTTTGGACCCAAGGCTCAAACCCCTGAGACTCCATATGCCAGGTCTGCTCACCTGCCCCTAAATACCAAATAAAGAGACTTGAATGGTGAAGGGAGAGAAAAGAGTTTGGGACAATGTGGTTCCTCTGAGATGAGTGCTTCTGCCCCAGGGTGCAGCCTCATCATGACGACAGGTCATTGTCACCCTCATCATGACAGGTCCTTGTCCTCCTTTGTGGGGTGAATGTCCTGTAACTCTCCACTGTTCCTTATGGGAAGGTTCAGCCCCCATCACAAAGATGTTATCAGTCCTGTGCTTTCTGGAATCCAAGGTGATTGCAAAGTGACTGCAGAGAGAATGGCTCCGAGCAAAGACATAAAGATGGCGGCAGGGATGCCAAGCTGCTCCTGTGTTTTGTTAATCCATGGACCCATTGCATTTTCTATCAGTTTCCCAAGCTGCCTTGGCGATGGCTTCATTTTCTTTTAACCCCAGTGGAAGCCATCTGTGTCCTTATCTCCAAGGTTAATCTCACCGTTGGGGAGCGGAAAGTCCCTTCACATTTTAGTGTTTGCTTCAAGTTCCTCCAGCAAAAGGTGGGGTGCTGGGCAGTTTAACCAGCTTTGAAGGAGCCCCCATCCAACACCCAGTGGGCTGGGTGACTGGTGAACCCCAGGCTGGATGGAGTTGGGGATCCACCCACCTTCCCTTCCCTTTACTGGCCTTGGTGGCTGCTTTGGGGTTCCTGTGGGTTCTGAGCCCATGTCCCCACCCTAAAATGACGCATGTCCACACACTGGGATTTCCCAAGGTGCCCTTTAAAGGTCACCTTGCTTTGATTCTGGGCTTTAGGGGAAGGTGTGATTCCAGGAATTTAGGCAGAGCCACCCCAAGGGACAATGGCCCTGAGAACATTGTGTCCGCATGGTGCTCACCAGTTACTAGGTTTCTGAGGAACTGAAGTGTACCCAGTGTACCTCACTCACCCCAAATTCACGCCTCTCATCAGAGACTCCGCTGAACCCAGATTGCACTCACCATGCACCCTACAAGCTCACCCAAATTCCCATCCCCAGACACCATATTCACCCTGAATTATAAATACCCAGTACCTCCAGGTTCACCCCAGATTGTGAACTCACCAGAGACCCCTTTACCCCAAATTACACTCACCCACAACACCAAGTTTCACCCCAAATTCTCATGACTCACCAAGGACCCCACTAGCCCCTAATTCTCACCTCTCACTAGGGACTCCGTTCGCTCACAATTTTCATTCTCATCCAGTACCCCCAAGTTCACCTCAAATTCACATCACTCACCAGAGACCCCTCACTCACCCCAAATTATAAACACCCCAGCACCGCAAGTTTCACCTCCAATTTCCATCACCAGAGTCCCTGCCAGACCCCAATTATCCTCACCCATTATTTCCAGGCTCACTCCAAATTCCCACCTTTCACTGCATAACCCCACTCACCCCAAATTACACTCACTCGTTACCTCTGGGGTTACCACAAATTCCCCCCCCAATCACCCCAAAGTATAAACTCCCCAGATTCACCCCCAATTTCTACTCCCAGAGACCCAAATTCCATCAACTCATCAGAAACCCCCAATTATACTTACCCAGCAGCCCCAGGTTCACCCCCCCAATCCCATCTCCCTCCCCACAGACTCCCTACTTCCTAGATAGCCTGCAGGGTGGGACATGGGTGCCTTTTTGGGGACACGGGGTCATGCAAAAATGTCCCTCAGGTCTGGTCAGGTCAGGGGCTAGGCTGGGTGGTCTCTTGGATCACCTCAGGTCATAGAGTCATCTTGGCCTCCTTCCCCCACACAAAAGTCCCATTTACAAGCCCTGCCCAGGCCTGGGGTCCAAGGAAGCCCCAAGTGACCTCTGTCCACAGGAGACCTGAGCCAGGACTCCTCCAAAAGCATGATCGGCAAGGTGTCCTATTACAAAGTGGGATGACAGTCGTCAGTTAAGGATCCTCTGTTTCCAAAGAGCTGGGAGGGAGGATTTTCAAAGTTCTCATCCCAAATTAAAGGCGAAGGCAGTGGGGTCACTGCGCAGTGTGTCCGTGTGTGCGATCATTGTACCGTGTCCCATAAACACGAATGGTTGACATGTGTCAATCACAGTTTGAGCAATGCAATGAAAAGACCCCATTTAGAGAGACCCCCCCCGGATGTGACCAGGAGCCACAGCGGCTCCACTTCTGGGGAATTTATGTCCTTTATGTCAAAGGAAGGTGGGGTCCACGGGCCCCCTGAGCACTGTGAAGCTGATGGAAAATGCAAAATCCGTGGCCTGTGTCTCAGGACTCCTCTCGGTCACTCATGTCACATCATGGTTGGGGACCTGGCTTTTTCCTTAGTCTTTTTCAAGGATTGAATTTGTCTTCCTCTCTTTCCAGCCTGGTTTCTTTTTTAAATAGGGCACGAAAGGGAAGAGGTAAATTTATACATATATAACACATGGCATGTGTATCTCCAACACAGAAATATTAAGACAAATCCGCATATACACATATATATGTTTGTATAAAACACATATATAAAGGATATACTAGATATATAAAGGATATATATGGATTTATAAAGATATATAAATCTCTCTCTATAGATATTTATATATCAATGAATTACCGATGTATAATTTATATTGCACAAATGATAATTATATTATTTATAGGGCCAAATGAGATATTCCTATATATGTATATGGGAGTACTAAATCAGGCTTGTTAGCTTATGTGAATCTTCTTAGGAGTCATTCATAATTATAATATTTAAAATTTTACTTTTTAAATAAAATGATGGACCTCTGCCCCTGGGTGTAGTGTGGAGGGAGCAAGTGGGGGAGATTTTGGGCAAAAACCCCAAAATTTCGGTGCAGATGGAGGAGGATGGGGTTAGATGATTGCACAATGCATGAGTCTGTTCAATTTTCTATAAATCTACTGCACATTACAAAATACACACAGATACCAGCAATGCATTGCGGATTTCACAATAGGATAGGACATTTCAAATGCGTCGCCACAAGGCATGGATGCATATTAATTGATCATTACAAAATACGTGTATTATTTCCAAGCTAAGAGAGCAGACTTCAACTATGTCACCACAAAAACAAAGGCATATTTAGTGCACATTCTAAAATATACTCAAATATCAAGAATGCATTGCAGACTTCAAAATAACAGTAAATTTCAAATGCATCCCCGCAACAACCCCCCAAAAACTAAAATCATGTCCAGCAGGTGAGAGCTTGCTTTGCTGTGCACAGCATATGCTGAGCTCAAAGGAACACAGTGTAGTCTTCGTCCAAAACACATATTTTAAAAAATGATACTAACTAGGCAATGAAGAAAACTCTTTCAGCAATTTCTGTGCCCTCAAGATTTAAATTTGCTGAAGTCTCTTGCACGAAACGGTGCAGAGGGAGCATAGAACCTGTGCACATGCGTCTATGTACCTGACGTCATCTGCACGTGACTTATATTTGGTACAGCGGAACCACGCCCACATGACGTATGTCTGCTACAATGTAACCATGCCACGTGACTCATGATATTCGATACAATGTAGCCACACCCACATGACTTTTATTTGATACAATGTAACCAACTCAATGCAAAAAAAAAAAAAGGTTATAGTGTATCATTTCGGAGACAGTTTTTTTTGGTTTGTTTTTTACAAATCTGTATATATTCAGCAGAGATGCAGTTACTTCTTTTGGAATTTTTCCTGTCCACGTGTTAGTTGCATTCGTGATGGTGCAGCATGCACATATGTGGTGCTGACTGTATGCTATCATTCACATGGACAAAAAGTTC